GCTCCTTAGAGTCAAGGATTCTGAAGCTTCATCTGACATACTTTGGGCATGTTGTAAGGAGGGACTGGTCCTTGGAGAGGGACATCATGTTTGATAGAGTGGAGGGACGGTGAAGGAGTGGAAGACCTTCGGTGAGATGGATCGATTGTGTAACTGGAGCAGTGGGAATAAGTGTGTTTGAGATGGCTGGGTTGGTACAGGATAGAACAGCATTTAGAGCTCTTGTACATAGGGTCATTATGAGTCGCAAAGACTCGATGGCACATAACAACAACAACATCTTCCCACAGCTTATCCGGTCTCCATTCATTAGTGTTCAAGGCCTCCTGATATAGTTTTTTTAAATTCATGAGAGATAGACTCAAGGTCAAATTTTTATTCCTGTGGATATGATTTAACCTTCTTTTGTTTTCATTTGAACTTGCATATGAGCAGTTGATGGTCTGTTCCACAATCAGCACCTAGCCTAGTTTTCACTGCTGATATTGCACTTCTCCAATGATTCCTTCCACAGATGTGGTCGATCTGATTCCTGTGCATTCCATCAAGTGAAATCCATGTGTATAGCCCGTATAAACTATTGATTGTACAGAATTCTTTCATTCTATCTCCAACCTCATTTCTGTCACCAAGGCCATATTTTCCAGCTACTGACCCTTCTTCCTGGTTTCTAACCCTTGCATTTCAGTCAACTATTAATTTTGATGCATCTTGGTTACATGTTAGATTGATTTTTGACAGCAACATTTGATGGAAATAATGTATTTCCTCTTCTTTGGGAAAATCTGTTGTCATGGATCTCTCCAGAGTACTGAAGAGCAATAAGGTCAGTCTAGATACAAAGGTGTGCCTAATACAGGCCATGTTCTTCTCAATTACTTGTTATGCTTCAGACAGCTGGACAATGACTAAGGATGACAGAAGAAGAATAAATTACTTTGAGATGTGCTTCTGGAAAAGAGTCTTGAACATACCATGGATTGCTAAGGAAACAAATTAGTCTGTTTGAAGAGGGTAAAATCAAGTCTCTCCTTGGAGGCTAGGATTTTGATGTTCTGCCTCACATAATTTAGGCACGTGGCCAGGAGAGACTGGTCCTTGGAGAAAGATATCATGCTCAGAAGGGTGGAGGGACAGCACAGGAGCGTAGAACCCTGGATGAGATGGACTGATACAGTATCTAGGGCAATGGGTGTTGATGTAGTGGAAATTAGTGAGACTGGCTCAGGACAGGAAAGAGTACAGAGTTTCTGTACATAGGGTCGCTATACATAGCAGGTGACTCAATGGCATGTAATAACAACAACATACTATATAGGTATATTCTTTATTTTTTTTATTTATGCCTCTTGTTTAGCATCAACAAGACCTCAGTAAGAGCCTTTGTATTTTAAGTTGCTCGTTATTATATTTTGGAGGAACATTCTTCTTAGTTTTACAGCACTCATCTATCAATATGCTGTACTTACGTAACCTGGGGTTGCAATGATTTTGAACCTTGTGCCATTGGGGTGTCAAATGTTATAGCAGTTACCCATAGTGGGCAGTGTTTGGTAGAGCTCCCAGGTTAAGACAGGTTTGGAAGCAGGAGTGGCATCCACTTCCTAAGCAACACGTCTCTGGAAACTCTGTGAACTTTCATAAATGTCAATAGTTATAGAAGGTTTCAGTACTTTTTTTTCTTAGGGTCACTATGAGACGAGCTCAACTCCACAATAATCAACAACAACATCTGTCTTATTGGCAAGTGACTAGAGAAAGAACCCTTTTGTGTTTGCTAATACCACTCCAGTCTCAAGTTCATTACTATGCCTCCATCACCACCATCACCACAACCATTCCCCATACCTATTTTCTCGGTGCCTTCCTACTCCTGCTTTGTCTTTCTCATGGTTTTTACCCTCTGCCCCCATCATGTCAATCATCTTTCCCAACGCTGCAAAACAACAAGCATCTTCACTGCCCACCGCAGTTCCTTCACTGAATTTAGCATGCTTGGACTCTGACTTTGTGTTCTAGACCGTTCATTTCTACAAAGCCCTCCATGCCAACATACACTTTACTCAAGTTGAACTCCTCAACAGAGTTCAGAAGTGCTGAATAGAAATGTTTCTCTTTAGTTCTCTTTACCTGTATAGCCTATATTTCCTTGAAATTTTATCGCTGTTTATTCCTGATCTAGTTCCAGAATATGCAGACTGCATCATTAGGAGAAAAAGTAAAATTATTTTTGAGACAGGAAAAAAAAAACCCAGGAAAAAAGAATCCTCTTAATATAATTTCTAAATTACTTTTTAAAATATGCTGTAACTTTTCAGCTTATGTGTAGTTCCCCAGGCTTTGTTAATGCCTCTGAATGCTAATTAACACTGAACTGCTTACTACAATGTTTTTCTAGCAGGCAGCCTCAAAATGTCCCATTATTGTGATTAAATATTTATTGAACTTGAAGTGTGTCCTCAACGCTGTAAAGAAGATACAGAAAAAATTTCCACTTCAAAGACAGTCTTGTGCTCAGAAATACATCAAGGCACGATGATGTGTTTGGTTCTGGCTTTTCCCTAGGCCTTCCAATGGGAAGAATCTGCACTACCCTCCCAAAGGCAAGAGGATCAAATCTACCACCTGGTTTGGAGGGGAAAGATGAACCATCTCCTTCCATGTGATTCAACTGCCTCTAAAAACCTGCTGGAGGATCACCTATGGGTTGGTTCCCATTCAGTGGTACACAACAACAATAACAATGGCTAAGTGTTAAGTAGTTGCACTACCATCCCAAAGTCATGAAGTTTGAAACCGCCGCTTGCTTTGTGAAGGAAAGATGGGCAATCTCCTCCCATAAGATTACAGCTTCTGAAAATTCACAGGTGTCAGCTCCAGGTCAATTAACGCTTGACAGCACTAACTTGTACAACCCACCTTATTCTAATAATAAATAATAAATAAATATTCTAATAATAAAATAAACATAACAATTTAAGATGTTAATCGGCATAACCTTTTTCAGACAGATTTGAAAGTTGCCACTCATTGTACCTACACTATTGGCTCCAGACTGAAAATGTTCACGTTGTGGGGAGCTTCCCGGTGCTATGTAGGATTTTGAGCAACATATCTGGCTTTAACCACTAAAGGTTAATATATCTTCTCCCAAGTAAAAATGTTCATAGCCATTGCTACACAAGCATTGGGAAGACAATGTCCACTTCCCAGGCTTTGGTAAGAAACACTAGTCTACATAAACAAACATAGAATGTTTAAGAACATTGGAGAAAATGGTCATTTTAATGAAGGATGCTTCATAAACAGGTTCAAATAACACCTGGACATGAATGAGGAACACTGTTAGGACAAATGAAGAAAACAACCTTATAAGGATGTGGTAAACTGGGTAACCAATTATCTATAACCCAGTTAAAAGATCTCTACCGAACACTGTGACACTGCTGTGTCAAATGCAATAATGGTTAACCGTGGTGAACAGTGTTTGGTGAAGCTCCCTGATTAAAACAAGCTTCGAAGCAGGAATGGCATCCACTTCCAAAACAACTTGTATGTGGAAACCCTATGAACCTAGAGAAAAGATGAAAGTTATAAAAGTATCCAGGTCTTTCATTCATAGGGTCACTATGAGTTGTCTACAACTCGAAGGCACTTAATAACAACAACAACAACCACCTAATTCTTACCCTGTGTTACAAGATGTGTACATATATATCGATGCTGCCTGGTTCTATGAATTTTCAAGAAAAAACAAGCATATAGAAATCTCTCTATTTTTTAATGAAATCTAAATTCTTTTAAAAGTACTATATTGAAAGAAATAATTTTTAGATTTTGTATTATTTGCTTATGTTTCCCATCATATATTGCTAAATTATAAAATAAATACAAAAATACCTGTATAATACTTATCAATTAAAATTGTATGTATTTTAGAACAGTAGGATGATTTCAGTCTTTTGAAATCATCTAAATTGACATGTTTTCATTCTAAATTTCTGTTCATGACAGATTGAAACTCTCAACAACATCATCTTACTTGGATCTAAAGTCAATACACTTGGTACCAGCAATCACGAGATCAGGAGACGTATTGCACTGGCAAAGTCTGCAGTCAGGAAGCTCTCCAAATTGCTGAGGAGCTAAATTTGATGACTAAGATGTGCTTGATTCAGACATCTTTTCAATCACTTGCTATGCTGCTGAGACTAGACAATGAATAAAGACGACAGAAGAAGCATTGATGCCTTTCAACTGTGATGTTGGGTAAGAGTACTGAATATCCCACGGATATTCATAAGAACAAACAGATATATTTTAGAGAAGGTATAGCCTTCTTGGCAAAGCTTTGTCTCCCATTCTTTGGACATGTGAGGAAAGGCTATTTTCTGGAGAAGGATATTACGTGGGGTGACAGTGAAAGAGAGGAAGATTCTCAACCAAGTGGATTGACAAGATGACTGCAGCAATGGACTTGAGGGTTTCAGAGATTGCTAGGTTGGCACAGGATAGGACAGGTTTCAGATCAGTTGGTCACAGAGTTGTATTCCACAGCTCTTAACAACATAAACAGGATGATTTCAGACACTTTATAATAGTGTATCTTTGGTATTTACTATTTGTTTGTATAACAAGAATATCAACTGTTAACATAGGTCTTAGGTTAAGGATTTTATAATTATTTTATGATTATTTTTTTCCAGAAGAAACATCTAAGCATCAATGTTGAAGACACAAAGTACTTGGAACTTTGAGAAGTAGAGATGGACCAGAGACAGAGACCCTTCACATTTCAGAACAGTTTCAACTTAGCCACAGTTTGTTGTGAAAAGTGTTGTCAAAAGGTGAAAAGGTAGGAAAAAAGGAAAAGTGAATAGGTAGAAATAAAAGTGAAAGAGAGATGAAAAGATAAGAGTCAGTCATGTATTTAAAGGAGGTAACAGAGAAAGTCTCACAAGCCAGGGGTTGTCTGGTGCTGCCAGAAAGTGATAAGAGACATGGAAGGAACTTGGGACTTCAAAGAGGACATGAGCCCGCTAACATTTTTAATTCAAGCATCTAACTTACAAAACTATGGTAAAATAATTCCTGTTGTGGTGCTTTATTACAAAAGCCCAAAAAGCCCATGGAAACTAATATAGGCAACAAATATGGAAGTAGGAATTATATTTTCTTCTTGAATATACAAATCAGAAGATTTTGTAAAACAAGAACAGTATCGAATATGAGGTTTTAAAGGTTCACTTGCTCTGCTCTTTGTTAGACTTGTAGTGTTTAAAAGTCAAGATTGTCACCAGCACATACTGCTGGACGGCAAACATGGAGCGAAACATGAAGGCGCAGGCCCTGAGGGACAACTCGACCATGGACTACATGGCGGCCAAGAAGCACCTGGAGATCAACCCTGATCACTCCATCATCGAGACCCTGCGGCAGAAGGCGGAGACCCACAAGAACGACAAGTCCGTGAAGGATCTGGTCATCCTGCTGTACGAGACCGCACTCCTGTCCTCCGGGTTCAGCCTGGAGGACCTCCAGACCCACGCCAGCAGGATCTACAGGATGATCAAGCTCGGCCTGGGTATTGATGAAGACGACCCCACTGCTGACGACACGAGTGCCACGGTCACTGAGGAGATGCCCCCACTGGAGGGCGACGACGACACGTCACGCATGGAAGAGGTGGACTGAGCCCAGCTCCGCTCGCTGTCCGCGTTCACTACTTCACCCTCATTCCTTCTCTCTGATAATATATTTTCAAGGATTCTTTTCTTTATTTTTGTTAACATTTAAAGAAATTGTATGGCATGACAATAACCCCGGGGGCAGATGAGCTTCCTTCTGCTTGTGACCCTGCGTACTGTAGGTGCTCGGGCAGAGCCAGTTGTCCCCTCGTTTTGCGTTGGCTAATTCACCAGATGGAGGTCATTTCTGTTGTATGGTGTGTGTAACCCAACCCTAACCCTGGTCTGAAGTTAGCTATTCAACGGATTCCTTAGTAAATAATTTTTGGTCACTGAAATGTTGAGCTATAATTTGATGTTGAGAAGAAACTCTCTGTTAAGACCGCCTGAGTTTGATCTTCTAGGATCCAGATAAGCCCCCACCCTCTGTAGTGCCCAACTTTGCATGGACCAGGCGTCTAGAAACCAGTGTGTCACACTGAAGCAGCTCTGTGAGACTCCACATCCAGGGCTTGTTTTCCAAAGAAGCTGTTTAGAGTAGCAAAACTAGGCACCTCCTAGGCGGTTGCTGTCAGGGCAGGTTCTGAGATGTAACCAAGCTTACAGTGCCAGGTCACCTGCTACCACAAAGGCTGTAACAAATTCAGTTCAGTTAAAGAAAAAAAAAAAAAAAGTCAAAACTTTTCACCTGGAAACGAAACTGCTTACACTGTTTGGTTAATTTGGATTTCAAGTTTACTGGGTTCAACTATACAAAACTGTATGATTAACTGCCTCTGCAAAACCTGCTGATGGTCAGCTATAGGTCAGTTCCAACTCAATGACACATAACGACAAAAATAAGAACCCAAGAAATTGCTGAGGTTTTTAGTCAATTAGTTTGGTTATGTTGATAGGTGTTGTTCTATAGCAAAGAGAGAGGAAATGTTTCTTCCTTGATCTAGTGTATTGACATTAATTCACCTACTTTCCTATTTTGACACTTTTTTCAGAGGTTTCACTTTTTCTAGGGTGTGCATTATGATTTTGGATATTTAAATAAAAATAGTTCTAGTAGCAATGAACATATGATGCTCAGACCCATTACTCTTGAAAACAATCTATTAATGTTGACAACTTTGGATTATTAACAGACAGGTAAAGTTAATGTCATAAATAATAAAGTCTATTTTTTATTGATCCTTGAAATTTTTAGTTCTCACAGAAACTAACAGAGTAGCTCATAAATTCTGTTTTGTAATAGAGAAGGTTTAAAATAGTGAATAAACCTATTTCTCATTTTATAACAAAATAGCCTGTCTCATCAATTGTATTCTGCTCTATAGTTTTGACACGATCATGTCTTTCCTCTCAGAATAAGTGTTATTCTTAATGATATTCACTCTGAGGTATAATGAAGTACTGTATTTATCAGAGGTTAACACTTGGAAAACAGAGGAAGTCAGAGACATTTCAAATGAAGATGAAAAACAAGAAAAGTGCAATGCTTTTTTTAACATAGTAAGTAAAACTGTTGTTGATAACAGTCATTCATTTTATTTTTTT